AGAGCGGTTTGCATAGGTGGTGCAAAAAACAGGGGGTAAGCAAGTGAGGGATTAGTGCGCGGCACTCTGGATAAGACAAAAATTCTCCTCGTTCTGCACTTTATCTTAAAATTCGAGGTATGTCAGATATGCCTTTAGATGTAATGGAAGCTAGATTGAACTTAAACGAAATTGAAAAAAAACAACAACATTGAGAGATTAAAATAATAATAAAAATAATGAGCTATCATAGATTTCAATTAAGTCTTCGCCCCTGAAGTAGGTCACTGTGGCAACTTATTGATTGGTTAAGTAATAAGAAAATTAATCAATAACCTAATGAAAAAGTTTGACACACGATTCATTTTTGTTGAATACAACATACGATCTTCATTATACTGCGCTCTCTGATTGTATTTGATCTAACGAATGCAATAAACAAATATTCATTTCAATTTTATAGAATTTTCATCATACTTCTATACATTATAATATCCTTTATTTAGTAGAAAGTCATGAAGATTAAACCTAATTCAATCATTTTTTATTTTTTTTAACCATTAGGATTATAAAAATTAATAAAATACATAAGTGATTATGTATGAAATATAAAAATAATATATATAATTTATATGTTTAATTAAATAAATATAATTAAATAAGTAATTAATATAATTTAATTAAATCAATAATATAAATAATATATATAATATAATATTTATAATTATTATATAAGATAATAAATAGAAAGATTATTTATATATAGGTTAATATAATAAATAGTACTCAATAATAAACAATTATAATACATAGATATCAAAATAGTAGATATCAAACATATCAATATATAAGAATAAACATAATAATTATAATTATATTTATTATATTTTAATAAATTACTATATTATTTTAATTTATTTATTACATTATTATATTTTGTTTATTCTTTGAAACTTATGTTATTGTATATGAAATTCATTAAATATTGAGTAGTTTCTTGCTCTTCTGTTCATGCTCATCACTTCACGCAAGACCTGCTCTAATTGATCCATTTAAGAAGTCTGTGCCTGAATCAAGTGATTCATCCACTCCAATTGTCGGGAGGTGGCGGTGTGAATCATTTGAACCAAATGCAGATTGGTGATTGAAACTTATGCGAACGACTGAGGCATGATAACGATGACCTGAACGGATTTGGAAGGTCGAGGGGAGGAAGAAGGAGAGGCAATAGAGGAGAGAATTCGAGGTGCATGATCCTGCGGTGATCCACCTGGGTTTTCGGGATCGTGGCGGTGGTAGAACCGACCAAGCGACTGTAGCCAAGATCACCTTTTGCAGCTATATCTTCTATTGTATCAACTACGTCGTTTTCACTATGATCTATGTATTTTCGTGTATCTTGGGAGTCAAGCTCGAGTGCCTGTGCCATAATCTCAGGCAGCTGGGTCGTTTTGGGAGGGACCTTCTTGTTCAACTTCGGTTTGAGGGACGAATTATGAAGATGATCTATGAACTAATCTCGGGCAACACTTTCCTCCCTTCCAGACTTATGCAAAGTTGTCTGAAATCTATCTACAAAGTTAGGGTACAATTCCCCTGGCTCCTGAGGACGCTTATTCAACACAAACCATGCGGCAACTTCGCTTATCTCATCGAACCTTGCCAAAAAGGTGCTTTTGAATGTTGCCCAATCTACCCATTGATGGCGCTTGAACCAATAATGACCGGAATCCCTTACGGGCAGCCTGATGACCCGAGGGAGATCAACCGCATCATAGCCCTGGACTTCTACAGCTTTGAGCCATGCCCCGAGATGAGTGTGATTAGGATAGACTGAAAAGGTGGTTGGAACGCTTACCGTTACTCGGTGAGCAGGAACATTAGCATTGGCTATGGTTGTTGCCGCTCTTGCTTCTGCTGATCTATTTCGAGTAACCAGGGGACTCCTCTGATTCGAACGAGCTGAGACTCCTCCAGTTGGAGAGAGAGAGAGAGAGAGAGAGAGAGAGAGAGAGAGAGAGAGAGAGAGAGAGAGAGAGAGAGAGAGAGAGAGAGAGAGAGAGAGAGAG